GCCGGGGAGAAGGTAGGACCGGGCAGGGGGGAAGCAGAGTCCTGAAGCAACCCTGACAAAGCTTTGGCCAGCCTGGCTGGGAGCTCCAGAACAAGTGCTGTCTGCCAGAGCTGGCCTGCCTCATTCAGACTAAAATGCCTGGGCCTTTATACTCCCACCTCATTCAGTCACCTCGTAAGGGCATGACCTTGGGAAAAAGCACTATCTGCATGGGAACAGACCCTGGGAACCCCAGCAGCAGGAGCCTGTCTGCCGAGGCCCCCCTGCAAGTCTCTGGAATGAGTACTTGTGGAGCAAAGAGGCCTTTTGTGACCCTCGGCCCCTTGTCACCTGACACACTCAGAAGCAGATGTTTTCTACCTCAGTTATTCTTGGATGAATCCCATTTGCCTAAGTGTTGCTGTTCACAACACAGTTTCGCCAGACGTGGTCTCATCCTGTTGCAGGCTGGCGAGAGGGGCCTTTGGGGGAAATCTGAAGCAGAAATCAAAGTGGGTGGTGGGGAGAACCAGAAAGCTCATCCCTCTGGCTTGTGATGGAGTGGGTCTCAGTCCTTCTAAATGGTCTGAACCACTGGGGCGTGAAAGACATTTCCCAGCTAGTCTGGGGGAGGGTATTGGAGAGGGTGCTGGCTGAAGAAGTCTGTATTCTAAGGAACCGAGGGGAAGGGAGTGTTCAGAGGCGCTAAGCTGGGGAAAGGTGATACAGCTTGAGCGTGAAGATCAGCCTAAGAGCCCCAAACTCCTGGGCATTATCTTAGCTCCAGCCACAGCTTTGTTTTAGGCAAGTTATTTCCCCACTCTGAGGTTCAATTCCTCGGCCACGTGTCAATGGACTCACACTCAACTTGGTGTCCTAGGAACTGACACGGAGGCCGAAATGCACTACACATTGAAGAAGTGTTTACGGCCACTTCCAGGTACGACTGAGTAACCCTCATGCCATAAACTAGAAATCTAGCTTAAATATATGGAACCACGTTTTCAGGCAGTGGGCAACACAGAGTGCGGGACGGTGAACCCTGAGGGAAGGAAAACAAGTGAGGGGTGGCCCCCTGCTACCCCAGACTTCTGCCTTGGGGCAACTCCAGACCACAACGCGAAGCAGGGGAACCTGTAAAGAGGGTGGATCATCTCACTGAGCTGAGAAGGCGAAGACAGGAGTTGGAAGAGGCTGTTTGAAATTGTGCTGGAGAATACCAGAGCTAAGGGAGCGATGCAGGAACAGAACTTCGGAAACCTGTATGGGGTTCCCTTGGATCTTCTGCTGAATGCAAAGCTGTCCCTACACAGCGTGAAACTCCAGAAGAATAGACAAAGAGCAGTTACAAAAACAGACAGACGGACAAACAAGACCACCGCCAGAGAGCTGGATACTGAACAAACACCAGAGTTCGCAAAGGGCTGGGAGGTACTTGATATAAGACTGGCCTTGGGGCGCCTGGGTGGCGCAGTCGGTTAAGCGTCCGACTTCAGCCAGGTCACGATTTCTCGGTCCGTGAGTTCGAGCCCCGCGTCGGGCTCTGGGCTGATGGCTCAGAGCCTGGAGCCTGTTTCCGATTCTGTGTCTCCCTCTCTCTCTGCCCCTCCCCCGTTCATGCTCTGTCTCTCTCTGTCCCAAAAATAAATTAAAAAACGTTGAAAAAAAAAATTAAAAAAAAAAAAGACTGGCCAGGGTGGAAAGTGTTTGTTGAGCAGCTAGGAAATTAAATTGGGATCTCAGAAGGTTCAATGCTCAGTAAAGGGCACATTGGGCCTCAAAGACATCTCTAGACCTTCCCGGACAAAGCTTAAACACAAACTGCAAAATGCTCAAGTCAATGTGTAAGTAAATGCGCTGCCCACAAAATCTAGACATTCGATAACATAACAGTTACAATGTTCCGTGTCCAGTGATAATTATTAGATATGCCCCAAAACAAGCAGAAAATGTGACACAGAAGGGGGGGGGAGGGGTGTGTGTGGGGGGGGGGGGGGGAAGTCTGTCAATGGAAACAGTCCAGAAAATGACAGAGATTAACAAACAAGGGAAGGGCCTTGGGGCAGCTATTGTAACTGTGCTCAAGGATGTAAAGGGAAACATGAATACAATGAAGAGAGAAACCAAGAACAAAAGGAAACTCAAGAGCCACAAAGTGAAATGTTCAAAATGAAAAAGGCACTGGGTGGGCATAAAAGTAGATTCGATTTTGAGGAGGAAAATACCAGTAAACTTCAAAGCAGAGTGATGGAAACCATACAAAATAACAACAAAGCAGGAGCTGAGTCACGCAGGCACCCTGTAGGTCACTTTAAGGATTTTGGCTTCTACTCTGGGTACCTTAGACACCACTGGAGAGTTTTGATGGCAGAGGGATACCATCTGGTGTACCTGTCAGTGGAAGCTCTCTGGTCGCTATATTAAGAATAAGCCACAGAGGGAAAAGGCTAGACACAGGTGGTCTGTTCAGTGAATGCTGCTATATTCTGAGTGAGAGATGATGGTGCTTAATCCAGGTTAATATCAGGACAATGAGAAATGGTTGAAATCTGAGATATCTATATCTATATATAGATATATAGGTATATAGATACATAGATATAGATATATAGATATATTGTTTTTTTAAATTTTTTTTCAACGTTTATTTATTTTTGGGATAGAGAGAGACAGAGCATGAACGGGGGAGGGGCAGAGAGAGAGGGAGACACAGAATGAGAAACAGGCTCCAGGCTCTGAGCCATCAGCCCAGAACCTGACATGGGGCTCGAACTCACGGACCGCGAGATCGTGACCTGGCTGAAGTCGGACGCTTAACCGACTGCGCCACCCAGGCGCCCGATATATATTTTTTTTTAATGTAAGCTTTAAGCCCCATATGGAGCTTGAGCTCATGACCCCAAGATTGAGTGTAGCCTGCTTTCCCAACTGAGCCAGTCAGGTACCCCTGAGATATATTTTGATCGTAGAGCAGACAGAGTTTTTTCATGCACTAGATTTAGAATGAAGAGTGATATCAAGTTGTATACACTGAGCCATTACCCATTTCTTGAGAGCAAGAACTATGTATCAGTTAGGATTGCATTTAGGTATGTGTAACCAAAGGCCCAACGACCTAAACAAATGGAGGCTTATTTGTTTCACATGACTGGTGGGACCAAGGTCGGTCAGCTACTTGAGGTTACCATCAGTATCCCAGGCTCTTGCTATCTTTCTGTTAAGCCATACTTTAACAGATTTTATCTTTGCCCTCTTCTTCTGCCTCATGGTCCCAAGGTGGCTGCTGTACTTCCAGGCATATTATCAGTATTCCAGGAAAGAAAAAATAACAAAGGTACAAAAAGGACCCTGCCAGCTGAGTTTGTCCTTTTTTAACCCAAGAAAGCAAAAGCTTTCCTGGAAGCCACATCCAGCAAACTTCCCCTAATATTTCATTGGGTCATGTCGCCAACCTTAGGAGAATGAGATTACTATGTGTGGTCTAGGCAAATTGCAGTTCATTCTTTATGGCCAGAGTAGGAGGCCTTCTCTCCCTACAGTCAAAAGATTTCTGCTATTAGCTGAACAAATGAGGTTCTACTAGCAGAGTGGATGGGGCATACTTCAGGAAGAATGTTAGAAGAGTGATGGCCGATTTCTACCATCGATTGATTGGTTTTTGTAATTTTGTTTAAAAAAACAACCCTCCCCCAACCCCGTGTTTGGCAGGTATATGCAATAAACATTCCCTGCTACCGTGTGGGCATGATGGCATAGCGGTTTTGAAAGACTTCATAAATAAGCTCCTGAAAGAAAAACTGGAGAGACGTGGAGGGGGAAAGGGTGGGCATGATCGGTCTTAGATTGTTTAAAAAATGTCCTGTGAGGGGAGCAGTGCACTGGGGATTTATGAAGTCTGCGAAGCAGGTAGGCCAGTCCGGCTGTGGGTTTGGCCATCTCATTCATTGTAGGTTGTGTTGAGATAAAAGGGAAGTGCAGAGGGAAGAACCGGTGGAGCCAGGAAGGGAAAGAAATGCATGTTATATTAAAGCTGGGGGCAAAATTCCTTTTAGAGGACTTTTGTTGTTATTGTCAGCAAAAGCACTCGCCTGGCACTCAATTCTGAAAAGCTGGGTCCCAGGATCTGGTTCAGAGAGCAAACCATGACACAAAGAAAGCAAAATTCCTTTTTGAGTTTGGGCTGGTTGCACAAGAGGGGGGGTAAAGGGATCCCGGGGATCTGAAAGGAAAGGGGAAAATTAAGATGGATGGGAGAGAAAGTTCCATAACCGTCAGCCAATGGACATTATACCCTGTCCTTGTTTTACAGGGAAGGCGTCCCATAGCTTTCAAATGAAAGAGCCGGGATTTAAACACAGAAATTCAAAAGCCTGAAAACAACAACAACAACAACAACAACAAAAAAACCACCCCAGAACCAAACAAAAGCCTGGTGCTCCCTCTCTCCACCTGCAGCCCCACCCCAGGCAGCATGGAGGCAGTTAGTTGGTCATTCACAAACCCTCTGATCTCCATCTATGGAAAGACTTTGCAGTGAAGGCCACCTCAGTCGTGAACTCAGATGCTGGGTGCTCTGGCAGGAAGCTCTACTATCTATGACCTTGGGGAACAGGCAGTTTCCTCTGGTTAGTGCTGTGGGTGATGGTTCCACCTCCTTCCCCAAGCAAGCTGGTAAACAGCCTTAGCCCCACCTTCCACCCCCAGGTCTCCAGCAGCGGCTTCTGTTACTCGGGCAACTGATAAGCAGGGGGCTGGTGTCTGGGCCCCTATAGAATAAGTACCAATCTGAATATGGTTTCCTTTGGGTTTTGTTCTTCCTTGAATATTACCAAAAGAAAAAATAATGAGGAAGGCAAAAGCAAAACAAAGCGGTTTTTAATTTCACGGCCCCATTCGCCCTGGGAACCTGATGCTCATGATTTCCCACGTATTCACACCTTGGTTGCTGCTCAGACCTCCCACCTCTCATGTGGTCCATCGGGTGCTGAGTATTATACCTTCGGCTTCCTCTCAGCAGCAAGCACACTAGGGAGTTCTGTTGCATGCACCACTGTATATGTGATGTAATATTAGTTCACACACTCCACTTATTCACAGCATTTTCACAACTGGTCTCCCCTGGTCTTCGCAAGAAGCCTCCAGGTTACGTTGGGTGTGGAAAGTCCTCTGAGAGCTGAGATGGCGCCTCTTTCGATCGGAGTTCAGGTTTGCATGGCTTAACCTGCAGCACCCAGCAGCATGTCTGGGACTCAGGAGACGCTCAGCAAAGGACAGCTGCAGAAGAGGGGTTAGAGTGACAGGTAAAGCAAGCTGAGAAGAGAAGAAGTAATGAAGTAGGCTGTGGCCCTTCTCAGCTCTTCATCAGGTCCGGAGAGGGCACCCGCTGAGGCTGAGGCTAACCCTTACCCTTGAGACGGTATCTGATTTCAAGGGTGCAGGCTCCCTCAGGGCACCCACTTTGAATGGCTCTGTTCGGTAGAGTCCGGTTTTGGAACAGGTGTCAATTTGTTACATATAGTTAAACAGACCCATGAGCACCTGTATGAGTGTTTGTGTGCATCCATACACACATCTATGTACATCATCTCTTTAAGTATGATCAAGACTTAAGATGGAATGATTTTCTCTGCAGGAGCCAAAGGGAAGAGAAGAGAGCCATCTCTGAGACCCAGATGGGAGCCCGTGGTTGTGAGGGTAATGCTAGTCCTGCCCCCCAGGCTCTCTACCCAACCACCTTTCTCTCTTCCTTCCAGGTCCCTGCCCACTGTGACCTTCCCCCACTCTTCCTCCCTTTCTTCACATGCTTGTCTTTCAAAGCCTTTCATCATTTCCTCACGATGGCCACGACCACAGTTGTTCAACTCCTTCCTGGGCTGGGCAGGGACAGAGGGGGTTGAAACACGGGGTCACGGAAGCCATACCTTGCTGGGCTTTGTTATTTGGGTGAATGTGGTCAGGACAGCTGGGTGTTGGTGTCATTAATCAGTCAGTGAACAAATATTTATCATTTCCATGGTCTAGGGCTATGCTAAGTACTCACTGTTCTTTGTTGTCTCTGCTCATTAAGTGAATAAAGGGGAAACAATAGAAGATGGTTCTTCATCAGATCCCTTCATCGGGCTGAAGGCAGGGGTTTGGACAGAGCCATCTAGGGCTCTGATCCTGACAGCCACTAACTAGTTGCGACAAGACTTCACCACCACCCCTACACCCCACCCCTGCCCCTGCCAGGGAGGCCAGGGACTGGAAGGCTCTCGTTCTCAAGGTGGGGATTTTCCACTGTGCCAGCAAAGGTGCCAGAGCCTGACAGGGACAGCCTGGGGCATAGGAATGCCTCGGATACAGTCTTTTCCAACTTGACCTTCTATAATTCTAAGTAATTTCTGTCAATAAGTGGCCAGAATATGGTGGTTAATAAGACAAATGGAATTCAAGCAGGCAATAAAAATATTTCACTGCAATTCAGGCAAGGAGAAGAGAGTTTTGATTCAAATTAGTCAATTAAAATTCATGTGGGAGAGGCTTGGCTGGCTCAGTTGGTGGAGCATCTGATTCTTGATCTTAGGGTTGTGAGTTCAAGCCCCACGCTGGGTGTAGAGATTACTTACAAATAAAAAAATCTTAAAAAAAATAAAATTCATGTGGACGGTACCTTGGTAAACGATAGAGGTTACCATTCGAAAAATCAAAACAGTGATAGAAGATGCACAATATTCTGAGAAAGGTATAGGACTAAGACTTTATTCCCGTAAGAAGGATTCAACTTATTAATGAAGGGTTCATCTAGAATGTTCTTGGAATTATCGTGCAAGCCTTGTTTCCCCATCCAGAGTCTCAGACCAAGCCCTGATTCTGAAATGTCAGTTACTGCAGTCATGGGACTGAGATGGTTTATAAGTTTCCCTTGGTCGGATGAGAAACACATGTAGTTCAAATTGTACAAAGAAATTGTACAAAGACACAGGGTGACAATAAAGGCATGAATACAGGATCAATACCTTGATAAACTGTGTTCATTCAGGTAGAGTAATTTGTCTTTGTGATGCTGCTTTGGTTGTACTGTGTCACCTTACCACATTTAGCAGGCTGGAATGTTTGATTTACAAGACTTGTCTACCTGTTTGAAATATTTTGCTTATTAGATTTGTAAGTCTTCCCTGCCAGAAGTTGGAAGCATTGGAGAAAATCAGGTATTTAACATTTCTAATTGTCGGTAGAGATGTCTAATAATCTTTGATGATTGACAAAGCCCTCCCTGATCTTTGAGTCCCCTTCTTTCCTCCTACAATGGTGAATGGTGGGTTCATTTCCCTAGCGTGACAGAACTATATGTCTGCCTTATCTCTGGAGGTATCACTTACATCTCCATACTTCCAAGACCTGTGACACTTACTATGATGAGGCTTTGTCCCATATAGGAAACAACAAATGACAAAAACCCTCATACATAGTTGGAATTCCTCAGCAAGGAAGGTAGGGAATTTGGGGAACAATGAGAAGATTGGCCTACTCTAATCACACAGGCTATCTGTCTGAGAGCACTATGGAAGTAGGAACCTGGAGTAGTGTAATCAAGGGGTTAGGACTGTAGTTCAGTTCAACAAATACGTGTTGACCACATGTTAATGTTGTAGTCATACTGCTGGGAATTTATTCATATTTGATTTTTTAAATTTTTTTTAACATTTATTTACTATTATTGGGAGACAGACAGAGCGTGAGCATGGGAGGGCCAGAGAGAGGAGGAGATACAGAATCTGAAGCAGGCTCCAGACTCTGAGCTGTCAGCACAGAGCCCAACGCAGGGCTTGAACTCACAAACTGTGAGATCATGACCTGAACCAGAGTGGGATGCTCAACCGATTGAGCCACCCAGGCGCCCCCTAGAAAGGCTTTGTAAAAAGTAAGTAGACATTGTTAAATGAAAGAAGTCAATCTTAAAAGTCTACCTACTGCATGATTTCCATTCTATGGAATTCTGGAAAAGGCAAAACTATGAACACAATAAAAGGATCAGGGGTTTCCAGGGGTTTCACGGGAGGGAAGGAGGGATGAGTAAGTCGGTGGAGCATAGGCTTGGGAGCGGGGTTTAGGGCAGTGAAACCATTGCATATGATACTGTAATGATGAATACGTGTTACTGTACATTTGCCCAAACCCACAGAAAGTATGGGACAAAGAGTGAACACTGATGTAAACTATAGACCTCACTTAATAATAGTGCCTTATCAATTCTAACAAATGTACCACACAAATACAAGATGTTAATAATAGGGAAAACTGTGAGGGTGAAAGTGAGGGAATATTCTCTGCACTGTACTTTCCTTTCGATTTTCGTGTACCTGACATTGCTCTAAAACTTAGTGTATTACATTTTTTAAGCAAATAGAATTTTCCAAATTCATTTTATCTCCCAGTCCTAGTTCCTGGAGATTATGAGACTTTATTTTACCAGCCAAAATGCAAGTTTCTCCTTCATGTTTCTAGACTGCTATGTGTTTCTATTCATCCCAGTACCTCTGCATTATATTTTCCCCAGAGGAATGTAAACTCTGTGAGGGCAGGGACCATGCCTAAGTCAGCTTTGGGAGATCCTGTCAGTTTTCTGCTCAGACCTCCCAATGGCTCCCCATTCCAACTGCCTTAAATATATTAACTCATTTAATCCTTAGAACAACAATCCTTAGGAAGTAGGTGCCCTTCTTACTCCCACCAGATAATAAGAAAACAGAATCAGAGAGGTTAAGAAGCTTGGGCAACTGAACAAAGCTGGTAACTGGCAGATCTGGGATACCAACCCAAGGTAGTCGGACTTCAGAGTTTGCAGAAAAAGTACCAGAAAACTCCCAATTTTTTTATGCTGTAGGTCACACACATTTTTGGGTTTGTGTAATGATTTTACGGTGCCTCAATTATGTCTTTTTAAAAATGTTTACTTTTTTTTGAGAGAGAGAGAGAGAGCACAAGGAGGGGAGGGGTAGAGAGAGAGGGGGACAGAGGATCTGAAGTGGGCTTTGCCCTGACAGAAGAGAGCCCGATGTGGGGCTCGAACCCACACACTATGATATCACGATCTGAGCTGAAGTCGGACGCTTAACTGAGTCACCCAGGCGCCCCTCAGTTATGTCTTTTAAAAAATGCAGCAATAGAATGGAAGAAAAAAGGAGAACTATCTTGCAAAGAGTAGGAGTGGTATTGTCCTGTGAAACTTCTGTAGTTTTGTATATTACATGCGTGTGTATTTGTGTTGGAAGCCATGTAAAATGTATTTAGAAAGCTCACTGCCTTAATCTGTCAAGAGAGCCATTACCTCAGGTAGCAAGAGGTGCTCCCGGCTCCTGCCAGCCACACCGGGCTCCTGCCTCCTTACTCTGAGAGCACGTTGGCTTTGTTCTGTGCATGTGCTGGCTTTGCCTCCGCAGCTCTTGCCCTCCTCAAACCCAGTGATGGCCAGAGGCAGAAAAACACCATCCCTTCTAGGGAAACCCATACCAGACATCCCCAGCAGATCACTCCTCAACTAGAACAGATAATGTCCTTACCAGCCAGAGCTGGGTCACATGCCCACTATAAACGAGGCTCAAGAAAGGAGACTGGGGCTACGATGCTCAGATTCCACCCGTGTGATGCAACTCTGGCCAAAGGCTGCCAGCAAAGTAAAAGGCAGAATGGGTGTTAAGCAACCTCAGTAGAACCCAGGGGAACAAAACGTTTCAAGTGATTTTCTGTCTCCGTAGAGATGGAAGTTTAGGGCAGACTACCCTTCGACTCATTCATTCATTTATTCACTCAAGTATTTACTGATTACCTAGTGTGTGCCTACACTGTTACCAGGCCCTGGGGACACAGAGTTAGGCAAAAGAGACACAGCTGATGCCTCTTGGGGAAAACTCTAGAAAAGGAAAGTGTAGTTGAGTAGTCTCAAGGTTATCCAAATATAGAGCACAAACTCCTGTCTAAAAGGGAGAGATTTGAGACCTTCGGCTCCAGAAGCTCTTTGTTGCAATATAAAAGGTCATCTTTGTTTCCATTATTCAGATGTTCTTTACTAATCCTGGTCATTATTGCTTTTTCCTGGCGGATCTATGGGTTACTGTCCTAATCATTTGTCACAGGAGATCAGAAGCCGAGACTCCAAGATGGTTTGAAGGCTAGATAGTTGAGCTTCTGTTCACCTCAAGCCTTGAAGAGGAATTGTACGGGACTACTGATAATGTTATTCTGTACCGGAGAGCCCATCCTTTGGAGATGATTTTGATTTTGTTGTTGTTCTGGTGTCTTGGCACCAAAGGACAAGATCACATCCTGTGTGGGGGTCAGCATTCTCCCCTGTGTGTAATAGACATTGTCATCGTCAATCATTCTAGATATGTGAGTATGGAGGCAGGGATGGACCCCAGGGTATTTCTATCGCAGCTAGGTCAACTGGCCCCTGCAACAGGGAAGGCAGGCAAGGAAGTGTCCAGGAGAGGACCCGTCTGCAGACCCAAGAGCAGTGATACTTCGCTTTAAAAAAAAATTTTTTTTAACGTTTATTTATTTTTTTGGGACAGAGAGAGACAGAGCATGAACGGGGGAGGGGCAGAGAGAGAGGGAGACACAGAATCAGAAACAGGCTCCAGGCTCCGAGCCATCAGCCCAGAGCCCGACGCGGGGCTCGAACTCACAGACCGCGAGATCGTGACCTGGCTGAAGTCGGACGCTTAACCGACTGCGCCACCCAGGCGCCCCGATACTTCGCTTTTAAATTCCCTCTTTGGTAATATCCTTCTCGTGTCACTGAGCCTTCAGCATAGTCTTAACAAACCTTATTTCCTGATCTTAGCAATCACCTTATGGAACCAGAGATAGGGTCAATATCAGGTTGGACAGAACAGCACAGGGGAGAGCAGGAGCAGTCTGTCTTGAGGCAAATGGGCATAACTGGGGAAGGAGAAAGTAGTAGTTGGATCCCAATGACAAACTCTAATGACAAGCAACTACCCAGAATTGGTCTGCAGACCTTGTAAACACTCTTTAAGCATTTCTCAGAAATACCTGGAAACAGGAGCCTGGGAAAAGACAGTATTTGTGCCATGAAAAGAGACAGAGTTGAGGCCACAGTGATTTGGGCATTACAGGGATGTGTGAAGTTTGGACATTCGGATTACCAATCTATTCTTTCCAGCGCTCACAACCACCTGCAAGATGATTGTACCATCTTAGAGGAGAGCAAGGCTCAGGGGAATGCCACCCTTAGGCTACAGGGCAAGTAAGCAGGTGGGGTTGGGTCCAACGTCAGTCTATTCCGCCATGCTACCTCCCTGGATAAAACTCACTTGGGAGCTTCCTTCCGAGACCTCCGAGAAAGAAAAGCTCATGTCATTTTCTTCCACTCCAGGGCCAGACTTTGGGAGAATAACCTGAGGAATAGGCGGGGAATGGCAACTACAGGAAGAAAAGAAGAAAAAGAAAACAAACAAACACCTTTCACTTAGAAACTGAGGTCTCTTGTTGTATCGTGTAACTTCCCACTTCCTCATACAAATCAGCATCTCTTTTTTTCTCCTTCAAATAAAGTTCTCTTTTCCCTTTTGAAGCCAGTCTCATACCTAAGCCTTCTCCCTTCCTCTCAGACCTTGATCCACCTGTCACTCTCTCTCTCTCTCTCTCTCTCTCTCTCTCTCTCTCTCGTACATTATATCTTGTCCCTGCTTCCCATCCCTATGCATATAAATATCTTCTCATCTTTCCCAGTTTAACCCACTGCTTCAAACCCATATGTCCCTCTAACTATGCCACAATTAACTTTCCTACAGTTATCTGTACCTTCTCATTCTCAACTGGCTTATACCTCCATTTATGTCACCCTACCGTCCTGATGAGTATTTTTTAAAGTCTCTTAAAATTAAACTCCGGGCACATGGGTGGCTCAGTCATTGAGCATCTGACTTCAGCTCAGGTCATGATCTCAGAGTTCGTGAGTTCGAGCCCCATGTCGGGTGAGCTTGAGCCCCGAATCAGGTGAACACGAGCCCCCTTTCAGGTAAAAACACGCGTCCCGCTTCGGGTGAGCCCCAAATTCTATCTCTTCCTGCCATTCACTCCCTTGTGCCCTCTCTCTCTCTCTCTCTCTAAGAAAAATGAAACATATAGAAACATATAGAAAAATGCATAGAACTGGACAATACAAAGAATGATCACACGGTGAACACATTTATGTATCTGCCACTATGTTAAGAATGAGGACATTCCAGCACCCAGAAGCCCTATGGTATCCTTCCAGTCATTATTTCCTCCTTCCTCCATAAATCTGCCATCATCCTGGCTTTTCATACTATATATATTAGTCTTGCTTGTTTTTAACTTTATATATTGATGGAACCTTACATTATGTGCTCTTTCATGTCTGGTTCTTTGGCCCAACGTCACATTTGTGTGACTAGCCATGTTGTGTGCCACAGTGGTTTATTGATGTTTTTCACTGCTGCATAGTACTCCATTGTAAGAATATGCCACAGTCCATCCATTTCACTTTTTATGGACACTTGAGATTATTTCCAGTGTGAGGCTATTTCAGGTAGGCTTTCCATGAATATTTGTGTATGCCTTTTTAGTTGTACACGTGCACATATTTCTTTGCCTGTTTTTAAAGGGAGGAAATGATTTGGTCTGGACCGCCATAAAATAGGTTGAGAAAATTAAGGCACGACAATATTCAACCGACTGGACACGTTGATCATGAACAACTGTTGTACTTACACAGAGATGCATAAGACACCAGCCAAGAGGAGATACTTGGGGAGGAGGTGTCCTTGCGTGTGGGAACACACAGAGAATAGGGAACAGAAACAGACTGTGTAATTAAGTACAAAATTGCATATGCCCAGAGTAGAGGCCAACTTTTAGAACCTCCTGGCAAAGACTAGACAGTTTAATACCAGGGCTGGATTCTCCACTCCTGCTCACCCACCCTGTCTGTGACAGGAGAGGTACCTGGAGGCCATGCGTGGGTGACAGAAAGGAGGTGTAGGTCTGAGGGTCCTTTCTATAGAGCCCAGACATATTTCTGCCAGTGTCTTCTGCCTTGTGCATCTCACACGTGAAACTGAGGCTAAAACCTCTGTGAATGCAGGAACTTCAGATAGACTCTGCACACGCCCCACCCTTCCCACCCTACAGGTGCAGGTCTGGGAGGAAGAGGAGAGCCAGGCAGGTGGCCCAGAAGCAAGTGGGGCTTATCAGATGCAAATTTTCATGTCTGACAACTAAAGCTTGAAGTCTCTGCATGTTCGTTCGGAATTCAATGAGTACAAGAAGGGCGGAGGAGGAGCTGAAAGACTCTATGGGGATTTCGGATTAGACCAGGAGTGTGGATAGCTGCAGCTGACATCACCATCACCACCCTCATCATCACCATCACCATCACCATCCCTTACATTTGTATCACATGATAGTCTACAAAGAGCTTTCTGTTCCTTAGCGTTCACATGTCTGTGGGCTGGCGGGGCAGGGTTTACTCCCACTTTGCTGAGCTGCCCAAGCACACTCTGGACGCAAGTCAGGGTCAGATCCCTAAGGGTTCCTCCAGTCCCTCCTCGGGAGCCCGAAGGGCTGTCGTTGGCTCGTTGGTTCTTAGGGAAGTGAAATAGGGAAAAGAGCGAGGGACACGTGCCCTATGGGTGCAAGGACACAGAAAGCATAGGACACAGAAGGAAATGGCCAGAGGCTACAGCAGTTGCGGGGTGGGGAGAGATGGAAGGGTGGAAGGTGTGCCGACTCTGAGATAAGTGGAGCCACCTGGAAAGGGCCCCGGTGCCCACAGGGCACTCCCAGCCGGTGCCGACAAGGTAGGGCGTGACCGCGTCGCACCCGCGCGTTTGGGGACTGCGGGCTCAGGCAAGTCGAGCTTCCCGGGGCGCCCCACGGAGGGTGGGAGCGCGGTGGCACCGCCCCCTCCCGGACGCGCGTCGAGCGCCCTCTGTCACCCCACGCCGCTCCGCCGGGGGCGGGGGGGGGGGGGGTGCCCAGGGCAGAGGCGGCCCGCCCAGGTGCGCCGGGGTTTGGCCCGCCGTCCGGAAGGTGCGCCGCCCGGTCCCGGGCCTGTGCCCTCGACCTCCCCCCGCACCCCCCCGCGTGAAAGCGAAAGTGCCGGGTCCGCGAAGGGCGAGCTCCGGGGGCGGGGCCGGCGCGGACCCGGGACGGGCGCCGGGCACTTGCCGGGCCATGGATGGGCTCGGCCACCGCCTCCGAGCCAGCCTGAGACTGAAGCGCCGTCGCGGGGGTTAGTGCGGGGCCGGGGCGCGGGGGCGGGGAAGCCGGGGGCCGGGCCTCGAGGCTGGCGGGGCGGGGGCCGGGGGAGAGGGTAGGGGGGGAGGCTCGAGGGGGGGGGCGACTGAGGGCCACTAGGAGCGTAGGCCCGGCGCCAGGTGAGCCGGAGAGGGGGCGCAGGTGGAGGGGACGTGGCGAGGTGGCGCAGGGGTCGGAGATCGGAGGGGCGCCCAGGCCCGCGGGGCCGAGGGGGAGGCGGCGGGCCGAAGGAAGCCGTTGTGGGGCCCCGGGGCCACGTGTCCTCCCAGCCAGGAAGCTTGTGGTGCAACCGCAGTGTGCTTGAGGCGCCCTCCTGGAACCCCAGCCCCGCCCCGCCCCTCCCGCTGCGCTCCTCGGAAACTCCGCTCCCCCGACCTGACCGCCCCCACCTGCGGGCGGCGGGGCCCGGGAGAGTGTGGCCCCCGGCAGACCTGGGAGAGCGCCTGCTCTGCGGGGCCTTAGAGCCTGCGAACCAGACAGGGCACGCCTGCCCTGGCCGCTGACACCCCCACCCCCAGGTGAGGGGGAAAGAATTCCTCCCGTCCAGGGTTGTGGGGACTCCAGTAGAAGTCACTTCCTTTCTTCCTAGCAGGGGCGCTGGGCTTTGCAAGAACACAGTTGGGAATTCATTCATGTTTTCATTCATTCAACAAACATTTATTTCGGCTTGCCGGTAGCCAGTCCTGAAGTGTCCTTTAGATACTTTGCCCAGAGGTCGCACCTTCTGAGCAGAAAGGAGTCGGTTGGAAGGTAAATCGGGTCACTCCCAGACAGCCTTCTAACGTGGGCAATTGAAAAGTCCCCTTCCGACGCCAGGCCCCCGAATTGGGCAGATCTGGGGTGAGACACAGGTGCTCCTTCTGCCCTCCCTCCTGCCAACCCCCCCACCCCCCTCACTCCCAGACTATTTCAGAGACAGGAATGGGGGCAGGGCTCTGGACGGCAAGGGTTGGCACAGAGTTCGGCCATTCTGACCTCGCTGGTGTCCTCCTTTCTCTGGAGAGTACTGGCCTGGGCTTTCCTGGACTCCCTCAACCCTCAGAAGGCTGTGTGAATGGCAGAGCTCTGCTTTTGGCAGCCCAGAGGAGACATCCCAATTGTTCCCACCCCAGCCCCCAAAGTGGGCTGATCATGGTGTCTGGGCATCAGGGAGGAGCTGTGAGGTGAGCAGCCGGTGGGTGTTCGCTGTCCTGAGCTTGGCCACCTGTCGGGCCAGGAGAGTGTGCTCTCTTCGTCTTCCATATACCATCCTTCACCTTTCTGGGGAGTTCCCGCATCTTCTTTTCCCTTTTGCCCTCAGGGCAGTTGTGTGGTAAGAGGTGTGCGTGTGCGTGTGTTTATGTGTGTGCACAAACACGCATGTGTAAATCATCCTGGTGGGAAGAAGTGGCAGTGGTGGTGGTCCTGAGTGGAGAGCAGCTGAGCTAGAAAAGGAAGAGCCAGGCTTCTACATCAAAGTTCTAAAAAGTCCCCTTACCTATAGTCTAGCTGGTTTTGTGACTTTAGTCAGGTGGCCGTGGGAGGGGCTTCCTGGTGGAGGAACAAGTGTAACCAGACTCTCGACTTCCCTAGAAGGGGTGGCTCCCTCCTCAACTAAAAAACTCAGGACTGTGATTGCACTCCAGGGCACCAGGGATTAAATGAGATGACCTATATTAATAGGATGAATGTTTTCCTTTTTTTTTTTTTTAATTTTTTTACATTTATTTATTTATTTTTGAGAGACAGAGACAGGGTGCAAGTGGGGGAGGGGCAGAGAGAGAGGGAGACACAGAATCCGAAGCAGGCTCCAGGCTCTGAGCTGTCAGCACAGGGCCCGACGCGGGGCTCAAACTCACAGACCTCGAGATCATGACCCGAACCGAAGTCGGACACTCAACCGACTGAGCCACCCAGGCGCCCCTAGGATGAATGTTTTCTGTTCAGCTTTTCTCTTCTGTTGATAAACCTCTTTGAAAGGGAGAAGAAAGCAATCCTTTTCTGGATTTCTTGGGCTTCAGCCCAAAAGTCTGGTAATCTCTTTTGTTTGATTTTGTGAGTTTTGCTGTTCTCCTGGCTGTGCTGATAAAGCAGGAGGAAATGGGCTGAAAATGCAACCCAAAGGGTTCAGGGAAAGGCATAATTTCCTGAGGTTCTGGAATGGTCAGTGAAAAGATTTGGGTTCTCAAAGACCTTTGCAAACGGGAGGCAGCCCACATTTGTGGAATGTTTGGTGTGTACTATATCTAAAAGGCAGGAGCATAGACATGGGACTCTCATAATTCCTACCCCCCCCGATTCTGTTAATAGTCCCTGAATAGCCCCTGACTTGTTCTGTGACTCAGTTTCCCCATCTGTATGAGGAAGATGCATGTTCCTCAGGTGGTGAGGGCTGTGCAACAAGTCTGTGCAGGTTGTAAGGCGTGGTGACAGTTCTGAGTATTCTGGGTCATTGTCCTCACCATGACAGAATCTGTCACATCCTTCCTTGTGGGTTCTCCCCACGAGTCGTGTCTGGGGCCCCTGAGTCCTGGTTTTTACTAGTCCCACGAAAGCCAATCTGGAGCTCTTTTTATTTATTTATTTATTTATTTATTTATTTATTTATTTTTTCAACGTTTTTTATTTATTTTTGGGACAGAGAGAGACAGAGCATGAACGGGGGAGGGGCAGAGAGAGAGGGAGATACAGAATCGGAAACAGGCTCCAGGCTCTGAGCCATCAGCCCAGAGCCTGACGCGGGGCTCGAACTCCCAGACCGCGAGATCGTGACCTGGCTGAAGTCGGACGCCTAACCGACTGCGCCACCCAGGCGCCCCCAATCTGGAGCTCTTAAGAAGAAGGCAGCCATCTCCCCCTTTCAAGCAACCCACTTTCCTCCAGCGGGCTGCTAATTCTTTGCTGGAGTGGCAAACACTGATACCAAACCCTTTTGCTTCCTGGTCCCTTTTAGAGTCAGCTTTCTGACAAAGTCCTCTCTGACCCTGGGCATTTACTCATTCGTAGGTGACTTATTGTTATTTTTCTCTCTTCCCCAGCCTCCTAGCTCTAGATACCACTAGAGCCCAAGGGGCCACCTGCTCTGCTTTTAGCTTGGGCAGAACTATTGACCTGGCTCAACGGGGAAAAAAGCCTGAGCAGGAGTGGGGGTAGGGCAGAGATCACCCAGTTGCTTTCTATTGTCACCGAATGCCCCTCAAGCTGCTGAGGCTACCGGTCCGTCCCCTACTGTAGGCCAGGGAGACTGTCCTGAGTCAGTGCTTCCTATTTGGGAAGTGGGATCCTTTGCTGGAGCCCTGGAACAGTTCCTGTGAGAGAAGTCAGACTTCAGATATGTTGCAGGGGTGGAGCGGCGGGGGGGGAGGGTGCGGTGAGAGATGCATCGCTGTAGATCATCCTGAAGTATCAGGAACTCTCCAGCTCAGAGATGGATTTGTTCTCTATTTTACCTCCAGGAGAGGAGGCTTTTACGTTCGTATCAATTTCCAGAACTCTCTCATGCTAGAACGGTTTTTTTCCATTTAGAGAATTAATGGACTGGGTCTATTTATCTTAATCAAGGGAGGCAGTGGTATGCTGGCTGTGGGGAATATTTGGTCCTATCCTCTTGCTTGCAGTCCTGAAGTCCTGGAAACTCCTGAATGCAGCATGGGGCCTTGCAGGGGTTTGGGGCGGTAGCGGACCAAGTTGAGATGTGAAAGGTCAGGAGTCAAAGTTACGGGGATATAAGATCCCTGTCCTGGGGCTGGTGAAGTTCCAGTGCCCACAGTCTGATGCTCTTAGGCATTCTTCACTGTCCCGAAGTTGTAAATAAACCCGTTGCACAATCCGCAGCCCAGAATTCACAGCCCTTAGCCCAGAAAGCAGCTGGGCCTTGGAGGTGTTTGCTCACGACCTTTTCTCTCGCCACACCCTGGGGCTCTTGGGAGGAGCTGAGGTCTGAGCTGCAGTGCCAGGATGCTGCCTCTGTTGGTGCGGGCCTTCTGCTGCCTTCCTGGGTCCCGTCACATCCTTCTTGCTCAGCCATTGGGTGCTCAGCATGGAAACTGCCGTCCCCTGTTTGGAAGGCAGCACATGGCTTGGCTTCACGGAGTTGTGGTTGGAGACTGAAGCGGCCCCTCTCTCAGACTCTCTGTAGCCGGTCTGTAGGAGGAAAGGGAAGCACTCCAATGCCCTGCAGGTTCGAGAAGATGGAAGGACAAGTGGTAGGCACGATGCTCAGGCTGTTCCGCAATCGGCTGCCCCGACTCCGAGCAGGTCTGGACTGGATTACCCACTTCCTGTTTTCTAGGGTGACCCTCTTGGATGGGGCTGTTTCTTCCTTGAAATGCTTCTTCCTTTTCTTACATGTAGAATCTTTATAGTTTGACCTCCATCTGGTCCCCCGTGTGACTAGACCAGAATACTTCCCCTACTGGATTTTAGAGCTGGTCATGCCCCCCCATGGGGGGGTTTGTGTGGTCACAGGCACGTGGCTCTGGGACCTGTTCTGCTTTGGATACATGTCCGCTCAGGGCTTACTCTTTCAGGTACTGCCCTGGGCACCTGTGGGTGGGCACAGTCTCTGCCTCTGGGGCATAGGGCCTCCCAAGCGGCTCCCCAGTCCCTTTCCTTGGCGTCCAAATCAGTGGCTTCTGTCCCCCTCTTGGCTCCCTGGGTTTTCAAATCTCCCAGGGCAGTCACGGAAACTGCCCAGTTGGTTCTGACCCTGTTGCAGGCCCTGAGGAGCGGGGAAGGCTCCGGGGACCTTAGCGTTGGCCTGGCGGCCCCGAGGTGCACAACTTGCCGGGAGCCACACAGGCTCCACCTGGGGCATGGGCTGCGGAGATACCAAGTGGGGTCTGGTGTCTTGGTTTCAGGAAGTCGCCAGGACAACCTGAGGGAAGCTGCGAAGGAACCAGAAAGGGCCCCGGAGCACTGTCTGTCCACCTTTGCTGGAGGGCAGCACTTCTTTGAATACCTCTTCGTGGTTTCCCTCAAAAAAAAGAGTTCAGGGCATGACTATGAGCCCACCATCACCTACCAGTTTCCCAAGGTAAGGACTGAAGGAGGGGGCAGGGGGAGCCCGGGTTTGGGTGTTTGAGAGGGGGGCGGTGCCAGGGCTCAGGTCTAGAGCCGCCTTGCGCTCCTCCTCTCCTGTTTCCTTCAGGCCCAGCCCTGTTTCCTGTTATCACCCACAGAATCTAGGTCTGGCTTCTTTGTGAGGACCTGACCTGGGCTCCCTGGCCGGGAGACCAGGCTGGTTCTTCTGCCCCTTTTGGGGCCTCCTAGTTCTTCCAAATTCCATCCTTAGTCATCCTTCTCTGTAGAGAAGCTTACCTTCTGCCAGACCTCCTTGCGGGCATCCCCTCCCTGGGGTGGGTGGGAAGGAGAGGGTGGGGCGGGCACACAGCTGGTGGGCAGGCTCAGCCTGTGGCCACAGCCCAAACACCAGGCTCCTTCATGTCTGCTCCCGCACTGCGGTCAGGGGCGGGTGTAGGGCATCCTCATTGACCCTGCCGGCCCGGCAGCTGAGCTGGCCACCTGTCCTCTCTAATGTGGTAGCTTTCTCACGTGGCCCCTCCAGGAGGCCAGGCAGCCTCTGGGCCTTTCTATACTAAGTGAGGCCCTGGCCCCCTTCCTGCCTATGTGGGTCCTTAGGATACTGATGTCTAACTCAGGCTCGTGTAGACTCAGCCGTGGGGCCGGTCGGACCCTGAATGAAATCCCTGTGCAGAGTGACAGGCAGAGGCACGTTGAGCCCCCATGCCAGCAGGGAAGCTTATTCTCAAACTGCTTTAGAGCCCCAAGAGCAGCCCGCCAGCCCTCAAGCCCTCTCCTCCTGCCCCTGCCCCCACAATTCACTGGGCTCTTCCCCTGTTTCCTATAGCGAGAGAACCTGCTCCGGGGCCAGCAGGAGGAGGAGGAACGGCTGCTCAGTGCCATCCCCTTGTTCTGCTTCCCAGATGGGAATGAGTGGGCACCACTCACTGAGTACCCCAGGTAATTGGCCGGGCCTGGGACAGAGGAACCTGGGACTGGGGGAGAAGGGACAAGTGTGAGCCATGTGGGTCCTGTGGCTCCCTCACTTGGTGTGGATGCCAGTTCTCACCAGCTTCTCTCCTGATGGGGAGGGGCTGTAGTCAATCCATTTATAAACATCTCTCCTGGAGTCCCCCAAGGCCAGGGATCTTAGCCAACTCGGTCAACCGGCCTGTCACCTCTGTCCAGAGAAGGGCGAGGTTCTCTCACCTGTCCTGGGAATGACAGTCGCCATGTTTTGGCTGCTTCTGGAAGAAGCTGGACTCAGCAGAAGGCCTTTGGCTTCAATGAAGGCAATGTGGCAAAGTCCCTTTCAGCATCAGCCCTGGTTTTTGGCTGCCCGAGTTCGCATTTTGGCTTTACCACTTTTGAGTCGAATGACCTTGGATAAGATCCACCTTTGCGGCCTCAGTTCCTTTGTCTTTCAAGTGGGGATCGTAATTGAACCTACCTCAAAGGGTTGTTTCGACAATTAAACGAGGTGGTGCGTTTAGAGCTGGGAGCCAATAAGCACGTAATAAATTACTGGTGTTATTATTACTCTCAGGATTGATCAGCAGCTCCCCTCTGCCCCCCTGACCCTGCTCAGCATCTCTCTGAGGCTGCTGCCTTCCTGTTTTAGGGTCTAGTGGGCAAATGCAAACTATGTGTGTGCTCTTCTTCAGGGAGACCTTTTCCTTCGTTCTGACCAACGTGGATGGGAGCAGGAAGATTGGATACTGCAGGCGCCTCTTGGTCTGTGCTGCTCAGAACTGCCCCCTCCTCTCTGCAGCCCGCTCGGCTCCACAGCTGGGCTTGCTCAAGCTTCAGCTGCAAAAGCCAAGGCTCCTTGGCAGTGGTGGTTGCGGGGAGCGCACGGCCCAGCACCTGCTGCCATGTTAGTGCCCTCTGCAACCCTGCAGGAACGGGGACACTTGCCCCTCCTTGCCCACCCAGGGGACCTTTGCTGGCCATGCTTTGGTCTCTTCTCTCCCCAAGCTTCTGACATCTCCCTGTGTGGGAGGCTCCTGCCTAATCCCCTCTCCACCTTCTGTACCCAGGGCTGGCCGCCTTGGCCCCCAGAGCCTCCCAGAGCATAGACTGGGGCTGGACGATGATTCTTGGGTCTCAAGAGGATTCTCCAAGTCACTTTTACAGTGCTGTCCTCCCTCGCCATTCCCCCATCTCTACAGCACACTTGCTCCCTTTCTCTGCGGGCCCCACATGGTGCTGGTGCTGACGGTGGCAGGGCCTGGCCCCCTCAAGGCCGTCTTCTTTTGACCTTGGTGGCTGTTCTGGCCTCCCTGCTGCCTGCGCCACGAACAGAAGCTCTGCACAGCCAGGGGCTTCTCCGTCTGGCCCGCCTTTCCCCATGAGTCCCCTAGTCCCAGCCACCAGCCGTGTGCCCCGTCAGCCCCAGTTGGGAGAAGCCCTGGGGAGGCTGCGGCACTGAAGGAGCCTGTCTGTCCCTCCCCAGCCCGCCGGCCGTGGCCCTCGCCTTCCCAAGGTTTACTGCATCATCAGCTGCATCGGCTGCTTCGGCCTGTTCTCCAAGGTAGAGGTGGAGCGGGATTCCTTGGGGCCTGTCTGGCCTGTTCAGCCTCCAGGTCGGCCTGGCCGCCTGACCTGTCTGTGCTCCCTGGGCCCTCAGTGGACTTCTTTTCTCACAGCCGGGGTCGATCCTAGGCACACTTGGGGAAATTGAGGCAGAGAGGAGCTTGGGCTCGAGAAAACTGGGACTTTCTCCCCCGCAGAGAGCCCACGCTCCCCCTCTGGTCAGGTAAGAAAGCAGCTGGAGCAGGGCAGCAGGGAAAGCCCCAGGTTAGGGGGCGGGAGTTTCCCGTTTCCTCATCTGTCAAGGGCATGCAGTGATGGCTCACCTCCCTGGCTTAGGGCCTGGCACGAGGCTCGAATGAAGCGACATGAGAAATGCAGAACACTGAACAAGTGTGAAGACGGCTGCTCTACAGGGGGGCCCCGAGACTCCCCGTGAGCCCTCTGAGGGGGGAGGTCCCTAGGACTTCTGGAGCTAACTGCAGGGCCTGTGCACCCGAGTCAGGCCTCAGAATGGACAGGCATGTCTTGGTGGCCACGAAAGAGCTTCAATGTGCTCTGCCCCCAGCAGGATCTTCAGAGGGTGAGGGCAGGACGCTGTGAGCCTTTGCTTGGTGGAGTGTTCATCTGGGCTGGGTTCTTGGGGATGCAGTCTGGCCCTGGCCCTAGCGAGTCTCCGGTGGAAGTCGGAGGGCAGAGTAACACCCAAGAGGCCCAGGGTTCTAGGCTCCCACTGCACCCAGCATCCCAGCGTGACGAGACATGGTACCACTGTGTGCGGTGGTTGGCTCTGGGATGACTGCCGGGGTTGGGGGTGGGGGGGAGGCGGTCACGTGGTGCCAGGAAAAGGGAGGAACGGACTGGTAGGGAGAGGGTGAAAGGAAGAAGGCTACGGGCCTCCTGCAGGAGAGAAACAGCAGACTGGGCTCTGCCGGGGAAGGGAGGGAAGCCTAGAAGGTCCACGGGGATTGGCTGGATCAGTGCAGGGCGGGAAGACGCACGCACGGGAGTCTCTGCCACTTCCCGGTGGCATCCCTCTGAGCCGTTTCCTTGCAGATCCTGGATGAGGTGGAGAAGAGGCACCAGATCTCCGTGGCCGTCATTTACCCGTTCATGCAGGGCCTCCGAGAGGCGGCCTTCCCTGCCCCCGGGAAGACTGTCACCCTCAAGAGCTTCATCCCCGACTCGGGCACTGAGGTGGGTTACGGAGTGCGTGAGCCCCAGCTTCGGTGGTACCACTGTCACAGTCATGCCATCCCCCCCCCCACCCCGGTTAACACACCCAGACTGAGCCAGGCCGGGACTGGGGCTTGACTAGAAGGATTGACAGAGCTGAAAATCAAACCCACGTTTTCTGACCCTCCCAACTGAACCACTCCAGACATTCCCCCCCCCCCCCCCCCACCCCACAGTCCAGCCCCCCCCCCCGGCCCCCCCCCGGCCCCCCCCCCCGGGGGGGGGGGGGGGGATGGCAGTTGGCCAGGCTGACTAACACCCCCCGCCCCACTCCGTAACCTGCTGCTGCTAACACTACCCACTGCTTCTCGGCGGCCGGCTCCCGTGGCCGGAGGGCTGCTTCCCTGGCTGTCACCCTGGCTCCTGACCCGGCCCGCCTGCGGAGGAGAGGGCTGGGGCTGGGAGGGGGCCGCCTCTGCTGCTAGGGACCTACTTACTGTTCGGGCCACCAAGACTTGTATTTATAATAAATAAAACATGCAAGCTAAGGTTCCTGGTGCTAGAATGGACTGTGCCCCCAGCCCCAAACGGCCATTTCTCCCCATTACCACCCTTATCTTCCCATGTGTGTGTCCAGTATCACTCCCTCATGGCCTCCCATCTGTCTACTTGTTATCATCCCTCCCCACCCCTGTGTCCCCACCCATGCCACACAGGGATGCTGTCACTGCAGGCACAAGGCTGTCTCTTCCAGTCCTGCCCCCTGGGACTGTGGAAGGTCGGCCTGCCTCTCTGAACCTTGGCTTCCCTATGTAAAAATGAGGGGAGGAGCTAGGCCTTTTCACAGTCTCCATAGCATGCTTGCCCTACACCAGGCCATGCAATTTTCTGGATACAACTCGGTGAATACAATGAATAGGATTCCTGACCTCCTGGAGCTTAAAATCTAGTGGAGGAGACAGACGCTAAATAAGGAAAGACACAAATAAGTATGTAATTTAAAGTGACGAAAGGGGGGGCGCCTGGGTGGCGCAGTCGGTTGAGCGTCCGACTTCAGCCAGGTCACGATCTTGCGGTCCGTGAGTTCGAGCCCCGCGTCAGGCTCTGGGCTGATGGCTCAGAGCCTGGAGCCTGTTTCCGATTCTGTGTCTCCCTCTCTCTCTGCCCCTCCCCCGTTCATGCTCTGTCTCTCTCTGTCCCAAAAATAAATAAATGTTGAAAAAAAAATTAAAAAAAAAAAATAAAGTGACGAAAGGGGAGAAACCAGATTTTCCATGAGAAAATGATGGAAACACACGTCTGATTAGGCGGGCCTCTGAGCCGGAGGGAGGAGGAGACGAGCAGAAGGGTGACCTGACCTGTGAGGACCCTCAGGCAGGAAGAGCAGAGTGGAAAGGGGCACGGGGTTGGCATGACCCTCAGAGCTAAGGGAAACCCCCGAAGTGCTTCCAGCAGGGGAGAGGCGGGATCAGATGTAGCCAGGAGAGTGGAGGGGAGGCAGGTGGAGACCCAGCGTTCCAGGGTCTGCGAGTTTTCAATGTGGTGACACCTTCTCTCTCCTTGGTTCCCCTGCAGTTCATCTCCCTGACACGGCCCCTGGACTCCCACCTAGAACACGTGGATTTTAGATCTCTGTTGCGCTGTCTCCGTTTTGAGCAGATCCTTCAGATATTTGCCTCTGCAGTGCTGGAGAGAAGAATCATCTTCCTGGCAGAAGATCTCAGGTGGGTCCAGCCGCTGGGCCGCTTCCCCGGGCCGTCTGGCTCCCCTGGGTTCAGGGGATGGACTGGAGGGTTCTCTAAGGGAATCAGGCTGTAGGACCTTGACGCCCACCCTCCTGCCTCCAGGTCTGATTTTGCACTAAGCCTCCTAGAGAAACAGCTGTTGCAATTCCCCTGCTTCTGCCTCCAAACTTGATTGCTGCCTAAGGGTGAAGAAAGATCCAGATTTGGCTCCAGGAAGAGACCAGTCAGGGTGGGTGCAGATGTGATTCTGCTCCTGATGGCTTAGGGAGGGGAAGAAGGCATATATAGGTTTGGAGGTCAAGAGCCCATCATCCCCCCCCCTTTTTTTTTTAAGTTTATTTATTTATTTGAGAGGGGGGGGAGCGTGCAAGCAGGGGAGGGGCAGAGAGACGGAGAGAGAGAATCCCAAGCAGGCTCCATGCTGTCAGTGCTTAGCCCAACGCGACGCTCAATCCCACAAACTGAGATCATGATGTGAGCCAAAATCGAGAGTCGGACACTCAACCGACTGAGCCACCCAGGCGCCCCAAGCCCATCATCCTTAATGGCAGACACATCTTATCTATCCATTTTTTCACTCATTCAACAAACATTTATTGTGTGTCAGCTGTCTGCCAGATGCCAAACGTCAGGAAGATACAGACAAACAAGACATGGTCTTTGACCCTAGGGGATATAGGCATCCGTAGTGGTTGAATGCACAGGTGTTGAAATCAGCAGGGCAAGGTTCAAGTCCAAACCATTCTTCTACCTTTAACTGTGTGCTTTCCCTTAGGGTAGTTTCTTGACTTCCTGAAGTCATAGTCTCCTTATCTGTAAAATCACAATAAGGATCGTGCCTACCTCATAAGCTTCTGCCGAGGATCAAATGACACAGTGCACACCTCCCTGCCGGGCATACACGTAGCCTGGAGTGTTATATTAATTTCAGGCGTACAACATATTGATTCGACAGTTCTATACGTTCCTCGGTGCTCCCCAAGATAGGTGTAGTCACGGCCAGTCACCCTGCAACATTATTACAATGTTGTGGACTCTCTTCCCTACACTGTACTTTTCATCTACGTGACTTGCTTATTTTTATAACCAGAAGTTTGTACCTCTTAACCCCCTTCACTTATTTTGCCCATCCTCCCTCCCACCTCCTCTCTGGCAACCACCAGTTTGTTCCCTGTATTTATGGGTCTGTGTCTGCTTCTGTTTGTTGTATTGTTTTTTAGATTCACGTAGAAGTGAACTCATGCGGTATTCGTCTTTCTCTGTCTGACTTCTGAATTTTTTTTTAATGTTTATTTATTTCTGAGACAGAGAGAGACAGAACATGAGTGGGGGAGGGGCAGAGAGAGAGAGGGAGACACAGAATCCGAAGCAGGCTCCAGGCTCTGAGCTGTCAGCACAGAGCCTGACGCGGGGCTCGAACTCACGAACCGTGAGATCATGACCTGAGCCGAAGTCGGTCGCTCAACCGACTGAGCCATCCAGGCGCCCCTGTCTGACTTCTTTCATTTAGCATAGTACAAGGTCTAGGTCCATCCATGTTGGTATGAAATTGCAAGATTTCATTGTTTTCGTATGGCTAATATTCCTTTGTGTATGTGTATATATCAACTCTTTTTTATCCATTCACCGATCGGTGGACACTTAGGTTGTTTTTGTATCTTGGCTCTTGTAAAAGAGTGCTGCAGTAAACCTAAGGGTGCATACAGCTTTTCAAATTAGTGTTTTTGTTTTCTTTGGATATACACACAGCAGAATTATTGGGTTCTGTGGTATTTTGGTTTTTAACTTTTGGAGGGACCTCCATACTGTTTTCCACAGTAGCTGCATCACTTTCCATTCCCACCAACAGTGAATGAGGGTTCCCTTTTCTCCACATCCTCTCCACCCCTTGCTATCTCTTGTGTTCTTGATACAAGCCGTTCTGATTAGTGTGAGGTTATATCTCATTATGGTTTCCATTTGCATTTCCCTGACGATTAGTGGTGCTGAGGATCTTCTCTGTGTGTCTTCTTTAGAAAAATGGCTATTCAGGTCATCTGCCCATTTTTTAATCACATGACTGTGATGAGTTTTGGTGTTGACTTGTGCGAGTTCGTTACATATTTTAGATATTAACCTTTTATTGGTTATGTCATCCTCAAATCTTCTCCCATTCAGTAGGTTGCCTTTTCATTTCGTTGACGGTTTCCTTTGCTGTGCAAAAGCTAGCTGTTATCCTTCATGATAAGTTCACGGTTGCATATATCCCTGTACATAGTCAAAGAAGGGGACTGTCATGTCTTGGTCTGTGCCTCTTATGGGCCTCAAGTCTGAGAAAGACATGGGGAGACATATGATAGAAGAGAAGGAAAATATCATAAGACAGTAGGAGGCTGACCTTTTATTCATGTCTGGGGAGGGAGAAAGCCAAGGATATTGGACTGACAACCCTGGTTCTATCTTTTAGGGAAGAAGAAAAGGAGGTTAGGTTAGGGGCTCAAATGTTAGGCCAGAGGGTCAGGGGAATGTCATGGGTATTAGGGGAAAGGAAGCGTGTAGGGTTTGAGGTCTCTGGGCTGAACATTCTATAAAAATCAGTGACCGCCAAAAAGGCACTCGTTGTAGGCTAAATCCTTGAGGGAAGTGGTGGCATCTTCTGCTCTGGAAATAGTGTTCCCACTTTCAACCCTGTAGAAAAATACGAAGTTTCTCTTGTGGCTGGAGCTGGGCTTCCTCCTTTTCCCCTGAGATCAGTGTTTGGGAAGTGAAGGTGATTCCAGGTGCCTGCTGGCCTGGGCACCGGCCAGGGCAGGCAGGACTCGCCTCTCAGGTGCTCACTTTCTCCAGGGAGGTTGCCCCCCTCCACTCCCCCCCCCCCACTTCCTTCCCACACTGAGCTTGTCAGACCCCTGAAGCACAGGCAGGGAGGAGACTTCCAGTCAGCCTAAGCCCAGCTAGACCCTCAGGGACTCAATCTTTGTGACTCAGGAAGTGCAAGCTCCACTCCAAGAACTGAAACACGGTTTCTGTATCTGTGTTTTGATTGGCCTCGGGTTGGGTGTTGTTTGGAGAAATGGGGAGCCACGGAGAAGCTGTGGAGAGGAGTGGAGAGGACAGAGAACAGGCCGTGTGTGTGTGTGTGTGTGTGTGTGTGTGTGTGTGTGTGTTGGGGGGTGTGGTGAGGCGTCTGCCTGAGCTGTGACCGAGGCAGGAATCATCCGGGGGAATGCTTCATTGGAAGGGTGGAGGGGCCACCTCTGTGGGACTTTCCGGGTAGGAATTGCCGGGCAAAGGTTCCTGGAATCTAGGAATTTCCCAAGCTCGCTCTGGCACCAACCTGTTAACTTTAAATCACCTCCGGTGGCCAGAGGGAGCCCTGAGAGGTAAAGACTACGTATGGGTGAGGGTGGATAGCCACAAGGAGGAAACACGGCTTCGCCTCTCTGCTGTGCCTCACTGTTTACGTTTGTCTCCTTAACTACACTGTGAGTTTGTTCAGCGGGGTCAGCGCCTTGTACTTCCTGGTGTCCACATCCTTAGTGCAGTGGTGAGCGTGTAGAAGGGCTCACTCAGTAAGCTGCTGGAGTGAAGGCATTTCCTCTTCCCCCCTCTCTGGAGCCACTAGTGTTTTTGTGCAGCGGGGAGAGGGGGCACCAACTGGGCGGGAAAAGAAGGGTCAGACAGAGGCCCCATCCTGGATGAGAGGAGCCTTGGCCGCTCCTGGCTTCTGTCCCCCGTGCTCCCTCCCCACAGCCATCAGTAGTCCCAAGCTCTGCGACCGGCACGGCTCTAGACTTGCTCCTGCCGTTGGCGGGGGCCATGGGGGGGTGTGTCGTGGCGGAGGCGCAGGGAGACCCCTCTGACTCGTGTTCTCTGTGCCCTGTCCCCAGCACCCTGTCTCAGTGCATCCACGCTGCCGCCGCGCTGCTCTACCCCTTCAGCTGGGCGCACACCTACATCCCCGTTGTCCCCGAGAGCCTTTTGGACACTGTCTGCTGCCCCACTCCCTTCATGGTCGGAGTACAAATGCGCTTTCAGCAGCAGGTTATGGATAGCCCCATGGAAGAGGTATGGTGCAGCAGGAAGAGGGCGTCGCGTGGAGCCGGGCACAACTGGCTTCGCACCTGGGCTCCGCCACTAACAGCCGTGTGACTCGGAGCAAGTTGCTTACCCTCTTTCAGCCTGAGCTTCTTCTCTGCAAAACGGGGACGGCAGTGTTCAAGTGCTAGGGGTTCTGGGGGAAAGAGCCTGCAGGAAAGCTCATAGCCTGGTGCCTAATGCATGGTTGATGCTCAGCACGTGGCTACTTCCTCCTCCCGGAAGATTTCCTTCTGGGCTTAAGGGGCGGCTTATTCAGGGGTCGTCCAGCCGTCCTAGGTCGGTTGGCTCCAAAGGGCAGGCCCTGGGGTGTCCCATCACTCATCTGAATGGACAAGCACAGCTGGTCTATACCCCACCACACCCCACTAGAATTCATTTGCGTTCCTTGCAAGGGAGCTAATGTAGCCCTCCTGCAAACGATGAGCCTTGATAAATGCAGATTTTTGCGGCAAGAGTTACCTTCTTTTTTTTTTTTAAGGTTTGTTTATTTATTTATTTATTTAGAGAGAGCGAGCGCATGTGTACATGAGCAGGGGCGGGGCAGGGAGAGCGGATCCCAAGCACCCTCCACACTGTCAGTGCAGAGCTTGACGCGGGGCTTGAACTCAAACTGCAAGATCATGACAAGATCATGACCAGAACCGAAATCAAGAGGCCAACACTTGACCCACTGAGCCACCCAGATGCCCCACAAGAGTTCTCTCTCCGATTACCTCGGAGCTCACTTGGCTAATGAGGATATAGGTCCAGATCCCCCTTGGTTTTGTCAGCTTCTGGTTTCTTGGCGGTGGCCCAGACATGCCCAGAGGGCTGCGTGGTGAAAACGGGCATTGGTAGCATAAAGCTATCTCCAGTGTTGGAAGAACAACTCAAAACATGCACTCTGCCTGTTCCAAGATCGCCCGTTACTATAATCTCAGTTATGAGAGTTACTTAGGGATGTCTATACTGGCTAACCATTGACTTCTGTGCAAAGGGCTGACCAAGGGAAGAGGTGAGGTCTAGTAGGAAGCTACTGAAGAGGCAGGAACCAGCCTGAGGGGGAGGATTTCCCCCATTTGTGTAAGAAACAATGGAGGTCCCAAGAACTGAGTTGACTTATTCGAGGCCACACAGGCAATGATGGAACCTAGCACAGATAGAACCAAAGCCCCTCTTACACAATGTGTTGCTGGGAAGTAAAGAAGTCAGCTACTTCCCTTCCTAACTTCCCTGGCCTTCCCAGCCCTCCTCGTAAGTGCTGAGTAGACAGGACTTTTGAAGGAGCCTTTGCCATGTGACTAACTGGGTCAGAGTATTAGCCCCACGTTTAGCAAGGACTTAAAATATCCCAACCCTAGGAGTTATGAAACTTGCTGACACCGCAGTTCCGACTCCTCCCCAACAGCCAGGCAGGACGGCACCCCAAGGCCTGCTGTGCAAGAGCCTTGGCCTGTTTTCGTCCTCAGCAGCTGCTCTGCGAAATGGGCGGGGGCCGAGGAAGGGGGAAGGCCAGGGGCCGCTGGGGCTGTGGGGGGGATTCTCTGGCGGCCCACATAAGCTCTCTGGAAGGGATTACTCAACAGACCGTAATATAGCGATTACTAGAAAGATTCTGGGGAACAACTTCACAAAAAAAATTCTTCATGCGTACTCTTAGCTCCCTGAAATGAACCGCCTTCCCTGAATGAAGGCATGTGAGCCTATGTAGTCAAGTGATTTCAGGCCTGGACTAGTTCAACGTTTTCTCCCCTGATAATGGATATTTACAGTGCCTACTCTGTCTTTTGGCACACTTTCCGGTCCCTCTTTCCTTTTATTTGGAAGAACGGAGCATAGAAGGGATCATTCACCATATTGGCAAGATCAAGAGTCCAAACTGCAAAGGGGGGCCCAGCAGGCTTTTAAATGACCAAGCCAGGCTTGTGGATCATGGTAAACTGTTGAGCACGTGCCCTACCTAAAGGGGGCAGCTGCACTCAGTTCCATCTGAACATGGTCCTTTAGAAACATGGACCAACCAGGGGTGCCTGGGTGGCTCTGTCGGTTAAGCGTCTGACTCCAGCTCAGGTCATGATCTCGTGATCTGTGAGTTCAAGCCCCGTGTCAGGCTCTGTGCTGACAGCTCAAGCCTGGATGCTGCTTTGGATTCTGTGTCTCCTTCTCTCTGCCCCTTCCCTGCTCATGCCTCTGTCTCTCTCTCTCTCAAAAGTAAATAAACGTAAAATAAGTTTTTAAAAAAATAAGGAAATGTGGACCCACCAGTGTTAGAGTTCCTGACTTTTCAGGAGTCCTAAAGCCAAGTTTAAGTGATTTTTCCCATTTTGAATATTGGAAACCAACTCAATTGTTTAAACGTACTCTGAGGATCAAAGAAACAGATCAGCAGGTTGGAATCCCACCAGCAGGATGCCGATTTGTAATCTCTAGTCTGGACTGAGGGCCCCTTGGACAGTGAGGGAGCTGGTAGCAGAACTCAAGTGCCAGCCCTGTGCGTGCCTTCCCTGCAGCCTGCAGACACACACACGGTTTCCTCACCACTTCTCCTTCCCTATTCCTGTTGCCCTGGGCTCATTTCCTTCTCTTCCCATTTCCCATGGGAAGGTCCAGAGCTCCCAGAGAGTATTTAAACTAGGACACCAGGAGATCATACAGAAAGTTGTTGCAAGCATCAAAAGATCAAAAGCCATCCACTGCTGTCCTAAATCTGACCAGAGGGCAGGGAGTTGAAGGAGGGTGGTGGAGAAAGGGATGCAGAATGTAGGACCCATCTAGGCTTGGAAATGGGCTCTACTAGTTGTAAGACCTTGGACAACTTTCTTGTTTGTTCCCTCACCTGCAAAATGGGGATAGTGCCTGCCTCTCCAGGACCGTGGGGAGAATTAACTGAGAGAAAATGTGCAAAGCCCGATTGTGTGTGCTGTGTGCTAAATGTTCCAGATCTAGAAGCCATTCCTGTGATCCGTGTTTCATTAAGAGTGACTGGCTGTGATTTCTCCCATGTTGTATTCCTTCCTACCTTAGCACTCCTCCCCACCCCCTTCCTACACCCTCATTCCTTTTCCCCAGGAAGGGAACTGGGGTTTCCAAGGAGGGGAAGGGTGAGAAAGGAGGGTGTCACGCAGGAAAGGAGAATTGCAGTTGCCGATCTTGTTGCCATTTGGGCTGACAGGTACGGCCACAGGCAGAAATGCAGGTGGTGAGTGCCCCTGTGGTCTCTGATGGGAAGAGGGAAAACCATTCGCTGTCTTTATTTCAGGTCCTATTGGTGAATCTTTGTGAAGGAACCTTCTTAATGTCAGTAAGTATCTGGGCTCTGACGCCCCTGCAGGCCCACCACCTGGTCTATCACACTCGTCTCTCCCGTGCTCCACCTCCTTCCACGTAGTTGAAGTGCATTTGCTGGGGGAGAACCCACGCTAAGACCATTCTATGAGGCGATCGGTGTTGATGCTTCTAAAGCAGGGATGTAAACCCAGTACCCCAGGGATATAGAGAAGACTTGCTAATGTTTACACTCAGACTCAAGACCCAGAGGCAGTGTCTGTTGTTTCTCTCTTACATGGCCAATTATTTGGGGGTAGAGTTGGGGTGTAGAATTCACACCCTCCTCACGCTATCTGCCGATACACCTCCTGTGAAGACACCGCCTCCCTGACAGCTTGACATCTGAGCTCTGTTCTGTCCCAGGTTGGTGATGAAAAAGATATCCTACCACCCAAGCTTCAGGATGACATCTTAGAGTCTCTTGGCCAGGGGATCAATGAGTTCGAGAGTAAGTCCTTGGTCCTCCTTATTTGGGTTTCTCCACAGAGCCTGAGGGCAGGATTCCCGACCACCCCTGCCCAGACTAAAATGGACTCACTCAGCAGTCCTGGGCCAGTCCCAGGTGCCTAGATTCTAGGGCCAGTCTGAGTGCAAGATGTCATTCTTCCTAAGCAGGGGTGGAGAACCCGTACCCAATCTCCTATTTTGATCGGTAATTATGAGGCCTACCTTGGCCGCTTCCCTGCGGTGAAAGCCACCTGGAGGCAAGAGTGGGTGGTTCTTCTGAGACGGCCTCTTGTGTATCTCCAGCAGCTTCCGAACAGCTCAACGAGCATGTTTCGGGCCCATTTGTGCAGTTCTTTGTCAAGACCGTGGGCCACTATGCTTCCTACATCAAGCGGGAGGCAAACGGGCAAGGCCGCTTCCAAGAACGGGCCTTCTATAAGGCTCTGACCTCCAAGACCAACCGCCGATTTGTGAAGAAGTTTGTGAAGACACAGCTCTTCTCCCTTTTCATCCAGGAAGCTGAGAAGAGCAAGCACCCTCCTGCAGGTATGCAGTGACGGCCCCTATCATTCCAAGCCCAGAGAGGGTCACTGCCTCCAGGTCAGGTGTGGCCCGAGGATGAACGGCATGGTGTCTAGAGGCCCACAAAATAAGATGTAGTCTTGTCAGTGGGGTTGGAACAAAGTAACTTGAAGCCTCAGAAAATGCCTCTGGGCTGCCATTTGGTAGAACTTGCTCTTTGTTTTAATCTGGAGTTAATTTCTACTAACTATTCTATTTGTAGCCCCAGATTGGGGCCAAATTGAATACCTGGATCTCCAGAGGCCTGTGAGAACATGGGAGTCCTGGTGGGCATGTGGGTGTGGTGGCGGAGGAGACAGAGAGGGTATATCTGATCCCCGTCCCTGACCTCATCGTCGTCCACCTGGCCGGATTATATGCCTCTAACACCGGCTTCTGAACCCACAGGCTACTTCCAACAGAAGATACTTGAATACGAGGAACAGAAGAAACAGAAGAAATCAAGGGAAAAGACTGTGAAATAAGAGCTGTGGTCAAAAGCGGGGGGCTGGACTCACGGGTCAGTTTTGGACTTTGGCCCCTGCCAGCACGGTGGGATTGGCAAAGCTCGCGGCCCCCAGAACCCACGGCCTTCTTCTGAGTCCTGGTAACCAGGTCTGGCGTCAAGCTGGTGTCTTGGGTTTGGGATCCCTGGAATCAGCTTTCCCAGGACCTTGGAAGGCTCGGACCTCCGTGCTCACGGAGCTGGGCTCAAAGCTACATTTTCTGCGCAGGTGACACAGCACAGTAGCACAGGTGCTGTGGAGCCTTAGAAGTTGCTGTGAATGCCCTCTTCCAGGAACCACTATGATGAAGTCCTCAACAGGGAAAGTACTTGTGGCCCAAAGGCTCAGTCTCTCCACGTAAAAAAGAGGTCTGTGGACATAGGAAGATAAGAATAAAGATGAAAGTCTTGTTTACGTGTTATCTTTGGCCTCCAGAACTTTGGGGCTGTGTTTGGACTGGGGGTCAGCTGCTCTGTTTCTAACAGGAAGGGTGGGGATACCGGGAGAAGCGGCAACGGCACTGGGACAGGGTGGCAGTTCTTGGGTCTAGTCGGGTGTGCCTTCCAGAATCCGGGAGGAAAGGCTGCTAGCCACGGAAGTATCTGCATTCCAGGGAAACTCGAGGTAGGAAATTTCAGTTCCCAGAAGCCGGTGAAGAGCTCTACATTGCTTCCATAGGCAGGTCTGTCTGCCCATCACAACTGAAGGTTTGGAACCTTCAGTTGTAGACATCCAACTTCCTACTTGGTTATTTTGAGAAACCCAGTTCAACTCTTTTAAAAATTAAAAAAAAAAAATTTTTTTTTTAACATTTATCTTTGAGAGAGAGAGACAGAGTGTGAGCTGGGGAGGGGAAGAGAGAGGAGACACAAAATCTGAAGCAGCTTCCAGGCTCTGAGCACAGAGCCTGACGTGGGGCTCGAACCCATGAACTGTGAAATCGTGAGCTGAGCTGAAGTCGGATGCTTAAACAACTGAGCCACCCGGGCATCCCTACACTTTTTTTCTGAGTTTGTTTATTTTTTGAGAGACACGGCAGGGGAGGGACAGAGAGAATCCCCAGCAGGTTCCATACTGTCAGTGCAGAGCATGATGCAGGGCTCAAACCCATGAACCATGAGATCATGAGCTGAGACGAAATCAAGAGTTGGACGTGTCACTGACTGAGCCCCCCAGGTGCCCCCTTAGACACCAATTTCAACTCTTTAGCTAACGGTGGAGGGATTGCTGCATTGCTGTTTCCCCCTTTCAGAAAAGAGTATTATAATCTTAAGGGTCCAAAGGAGTTGAGTGGTCACCTGGTCCACCTTCCCTCTGTACTTCCAATGACAGCTTCTGTTTCAACACTGAAAGGGATGGGAAACTTTTAGAAGCCTCTTACCTTTCAAAACTCTCATCTTTTGAATGTGTGTGTGTGTGTGTGAGCGTGGCCCTCGGAGGCCCCTGAATTCTATACGAAGAACACAAATGTTTTTGGGGGGTGCAGCACAGACACATGCTGCGGGCGGCAGATGTTCCACTGTCCACCCACCGCCTGTAGCGATGCTGCTACTCTTCACGGGTTCTAAGAGTCAGCGCCGTTCCTAAACCTCGCTGTACCTCAGAAGGTTTTAGAACATGGACTGGAGTCCTGGGAAGCTTTTGAAAATACTTTCTGAGGCCTCACCCCAAACTGACTAAAGCATCTCTAGAGATAGGACCTGGGGACCTGTAATTTCTAAAGCTCCTTCAGGTGATTCCGACACCCAACTAGGTATAGGATCAAAGAGGAGACGGGCCAGCTGAGGTTGACTATAAATGTACCCTTGATCTGATGACGATGTACCTGGAGCTAAGAAAGCACACACGGAGTATCTGAGCATTTTTCAGATTCCCTTTATGACTGAAAAAGATTTGAGCATCTGGGTTTATAGCTTTAGCCCACAAAAACCTACTATGGTGTGAGGACAGAACACTGGACCAGGATTCAGAAGATACGGAGTCTAGTCCCTATTTGGAAAAGGAACGACTGTGTGACACTGATACACCACTTAGCCTCTCGGCAGACCTCAATTTCCACTGCAGGTAATTACCATCTGCTGTGTCTATTGTACTACTCAAGTAGGGCAGTAGGTGCAACTGTTCCAAATAAGTAGAATTATCCTTCTTCGTCCTAACCTTCAAAACTACCGCAGATGCTGGAGGAGTTGCTAGCCAGCAAAAACAAGGAGAGATTTCTCTCTACTGCTACAGTCTAGCAAGGAACTTGAAGGTTTCACTGTCGCTCCTACCCAAGATTACATGGGATTAACGGAAGCATTAGAAGTGCAAGAGAGCAGAGTGCCGACTCCCAGCTGAGGCAGAACGGCTACTGTTTACCCATGATTACAAAAACAGGGTATACATACAAGTCAACAGAAATCTATACAAGTCAATAAAAAGATACCACTAGTTTCTTTTCTGCTGTCCCCCTCCATTCAAGCATCTGGACTATACATACTGCGGAAACAGATCCGGCTTATAGTCACTGAAGACAGCTGGTTCTCATTTCAAACTGTAGCATACCGAGGAGGCAGAACAGGAGCACAACTTTTCAGTAACTGCCTAGGGAGGCCGAAGCCTCTCTCATTGAAAATTCTGGGGAAGGGTTTGAGATTCCTAAAAGATTTATAATCTGAAGGATGACAAATGCAGCGAAAAAAAACCTATCAAGAAGGAAAACGAACACAGTTCCATATTTTAAGTTAAACAGAATAGATCGCAGGACACATAATGACAAAGCAGATGACCGAATTTCCTCATTTATTAAAGAACAGAAATAAATTTTGCTTAAAAAAAAATGACATTAAAACTTAGTCTATCTTTCCACTGAATAAAATTGAGAAAAAGGCTGGCTTTCAGGTCATATATTTATTTAAAAAAATAAAATGGATCAACAAAGTTACCACATTATTCTGCATGCTAACAGGAAATCCCAAGCCCATGAGAGATACCATTTCTTGAGCAATAAAAAAAATTACCTCCTCAACAATGTAAAGATAGGAAACCTTGCAATTCAAATTCAAGGTCTTTATCACTAACTCCATTGCACAAGCTAGTAGGATATATCTGTGCCACAAGCTGAGCTCCTTAGTAAAGAAAGCTTGAGAAGAGACTAAACAAGGATGTCACTAAAAGATGATGATTTGTGAAAATTATAAAGCAACCATGTTTGGGCCTGCAAATATTCTACATGAGAAATCTCCACCACTGGGAATCTGCTCCCCAGGACAATTTTATTCTGAATCCAAGATAATTACAAACACATGGCAATTTTTCCTGCATGCTTCCTTGGGCCAAACCCTGTATGACAACATGTACAATTACAGGACGGGATTGAAATTCCCATTCTCACACAGGATAGTTAAGGAGTGTTACCAGTAACAAAGAAAAGTTATACAACATTGATTATTATAAATTATATTTGTTCTTATCCACCCCATTCTCCTTAATATGTTCTGATTCTTTCCTGCAGAAAACGTGAGTTTCCTATACGACACCAAGTATGTCATTAGTGATGATTAGAATGAGCTGTCGAGACCTTGATTCTGAAGACATGTATGTGCAGGTGAGACGCAATCTGATTGCAAACACTGACACAGTAGCGGATCAAATCAAAGAAGGAGAAGACCTGGAAAGAAAAGAGAGTGTCAGATTCTCAGGACCTGCTTAGGTGATTCCTAAGCTTCCTACATAAGGAGTGGCTTCCTTCTTCCCTTCTTTCCAGACATGTCTTCAATTCCATACAATCTAATACTTCAATTTCCTCATGGATTTTTCCTTTACGCTAAGGATCAACAAACTCTTTCTCAGAGACACAGTAAATATTTTAGGCTTTGTGGACCATACCGTCTTTATCTTAGCTGCTCAACTTTTGCCATTATAGCATGAAAGCAGACACAGACAATACCTTCATGAACGGCCACGGCTGTGTTCCAATAGAACTTTATAAAAACAGGCCTTTGGCCCACAGGATGTAATTTATCAGTTCCTGCTTTACAGTCAGAAATCTGGAATTTTTGAGCCCAGATGTAGGACTAATAAGAATAATGCAAAAAATGGCTCAAAGATGAAGCCACGAAGAACTCTTTACAAAGTCCCATAAATATGGTTTTCTGACATTCCAAATCATTACAATTATAGTATCTATCTTCCAGGACTGACCCACAGGAACAAGAAAACAAGTGGCTTCCAAATCATGAAACAGGACACAGAACGATACTTACCAGGGCAATCCAAAGTACAATATATTCATCGATAAAGCTGTTAAAATATTGGTCCAGAAACAAAAGTGCTGGGCCTATGAATGCTGTGTCATGCAAATGCATTTCACTCTTAGTCATGTGTGCCACCTGAAAACAAAAGAGAACCCGTGATGCAGGCACTCTCATACTAGAGCAACCGTGAGTCACAGTAAATCAGTTTTGGGCTCAAGTTTCAAGTTGTGTTCACAAGTTTCGAGAATTATTTGGCGATACTGAATAAAAAGCTAAACTTCCAAAAACAAAAACCCAGAAAACTGACAAGAATTATGTGTGAGAGCTATACACCACAGGGACAGACCATGTCAACCAAGCCCCCCCCCCCCCGGAAGATGCTTTTCATAAACACCCTTAATTCGAGTGTACAGATGGAGACTGAAGAAGGCAGATAAACTAAAGCACCAAATGAAACTGTAGCAGAAAGAAGGGCTGTGGAGGTCCAAGAAGCTTCTGGTAACCTCCAGTTGTAGCTTCACAGAAGAGTGAGAACAGTTCCCATGTTGATGTCCAGGGATCTTGACTGGAGGAGAGCAAACTCTAGAGCTGCTCAGGAAGCTGTGGGATGAAAGCTATGGCCATAAACCCAAAATAAGAGGAATTTTAAACACAAAACAAAGAAAAACTTTAGTGCTTACCACAAGCTTATTAGTGATTTTAGCAGATACAAAACCAAACGTCAGTATATAAAGACAGGGATGCTTTTCAAAAAGCTGAACTGCCGATTTCTTATAGATCATTGCAGCTAATGTAATCACTGATCCAATATGGAGAAAAGGAGAAAGGACACTTGTTCCCTGTGCAGAATAAAGAGAAGAGAGGTACGAACTGTCAGATACAACATGGATCTTTTGTAAGGCGGATCAACTCACACTTTTAAGAACCTCACGGTGCCTGACAGCCAGCAGTTTCTGTAACCAAATACTGAACAGCTAGTGAAGAAAGCAGCAGTATGGGTTGGTCAGGCACAATCTGAGGATTTTACTTACGCTGTCAGGCTTATTTTACAAAGCAGATCATACTTTTAAAAATACATTTGTGTATAAAGGCATGCATGTGTGTCTGTGTGTACATGCACAAAAAAATGCACATAAGCATATACAAGTATGCATGTATAGATAAAAGTGAGTTTGGGATATTACTT